GGGGATTAAAAGCGGGGCTGTGGCAATTGATCTTGTGAAAGTCGTAAAAGACATGATTCAAGGAGTTGGGAATCTTACCACCCTCTTCCATTTTCCACTGCTAGCTGACTTCTCAGAAGGTAGCCAAAATGCCTCCAGTAATAGCCTACAGGTTGCTGATAGGTCCGGCTTGCCTGGTGTAGCCATGGAATATAATACTAATAGTTCCTCTTCTTCCATCTATCAAAAGAATGCCTCCTGTGGCCTCTGGGGACAGTGGCTGTGCCCTCTGATCACTTGTTAGGGCACCCTGCCATAACTGTCTTACCTACCAATGAGTACCCACCAGAGGTGCTGCACAGCACAGTAGCTGCTTCTGACATTAGGTAATGCGTTTATTTCACACTGTTTATTAGGGAAAGACCTTTGAATTAAAGGTTAGTTATCAATTTGGGTGTTTTTACTTCATTGCTTATCTTGTTACATCATTTCTGAATCACAGGGAATATAAATGATATTCTTGTTCAGGTGCTCAGGGCAATAGTTTTTATTTTTCTTTTGTTTTTTTAGAGTCAGGGTCTTGCTGTGTCACCCAGGCTGGAGTGTCGTGGTGCGATCGTAGTTCACTGCAGTCTCAAACTCCTGGGCTCAAGAGACCCTCCTGCCTCAGCCTTCTGAGTAGCTAGGACTGCAGGTGTGCACTACCATGCCAGGCCAAAGTAATAGTTTTTAACTTTTTTTGGGACAGATATCTTTTGAGAATCTGATGAAAGTTACATAATTTTTCACTAGAAAAATGCATACATGAATGTCACTGATGTATTGCATAAAGTTTGGGTGACTCACAGAAGCTTCCTCCTCTGATGCATCTAAAGATCCTTGCACCCCAGCTCTGAAGAAGTCATCACCTTATTTTTATGAATTTTATGTTCTGTAACACCAAACAATGCTCCCTACTCTCACCACCTCTTTCATTTCTTATTAAGAAAACAAAAAGATTTTGCTCTTGTGATCATGTAGTATTAATTCTCATCGATATGGAAAACATGTTGCCCTCATGCTCTTTAGCCTGGCACATCTGCCAAGAGTTATCTGTGCGAGGGAGCTTGGTGGGTATAAGAATGAGGTTTTGGAATCAGACAGATCTGGGGTCAAATACAGAGTCTGCAGTTAGTGGGGTGGCAATGGGCACGTTACTCAACTGCCGAGAACCCATTTCCTCATCAGAGAGAACTGGCACCTGTTTTTACCTGTGGTTAACCTGAATCTGGCCTGCAGATATTGATATGCTGGAGGAATTTGCCTACTTGAGAACTCAGGAAGGTGGGAAAATTCATCTGGAATTACTACCCAATCAAGGAATGCTGATCAAGTAAGCATGCTCTCTTTTGCTCTTCCACGCTGAGTGCTCACCTTTTGTGTCTTTGTATGAAGTATTTATAAATGTGTATACCTATCAAAACTTTAATACAAAGGACTTTGAACCTGGTCTCTGTTTTGACAGTCAGTTTGATTCTGGGTTATCTTTTGAAAAAGTTGCATTTCCTTAACTACATTTCTTAAAACACTTTGCTTAAATTGGGGTATTTTTGTCACATTTGCAACTTTTTCACTGGACAAAAGTCTCATTCATGGTATCTTTTCCTTTCAAAAATTTATAGGGTGATTCTATAAGTTTCTGATTAGTCACAGAGTGCCTTTAATTAAGAACAGCTGTGTGGCCAGGCGTGGTGGCTCACACCTGTAATCTCAGCACTTTTGGAGGCCAAGGCGGGCAGATCACCTAAGACCAGGAGTTCAGGACCAGCCTGGCCAACATGGTGAAACCCCGTCTCTACTAAAAATACAAAAAAAAAAAAAAAATTATCCGGGTGTGGCGGTGGGCGCCTATAATCCCAGCTACTTGGGAGGCTGAGGCAGGAGAACTGCTTGAACTCAGGGGGCGGAGGCTGCAGTGAGCCAAGGTCGCGCCATTGCACTTCAGCCTGGGCAACAAGAGCGAAACTCTATCTCAAAAAAAAAAAAAAAAAAAACAAAAACAAAAAAAAAAACAGCTGTGCTTAATTAAAATTGTGCTGGGTTAGAAAAATTCTTTAGGAAAAACTACAGACTTTTTATTTATAAACTACCTATGAAGCCCTCCTATGCAATCCTCATTACTTACACAACACAAAGTATTAATAGCCAGGTGTAGTCCCTCTAAGAACACACCTGTCCCAAGAAATGATGGTGGGAGTGGTTGGTCTCCACCATACTCCCCTGAACCCACAAGATGTTACTAAAATTCCAGGTTGGCCCAGATGAAAATGCCAAATTAGTGACCATTTATGATTTTTAAATAGCTCATAAATCTTGCTTCTCTCCTTCAATCCTCATTGTAGTTTCGGTAATATATTCTCTCTGCTGTAAATGCCACGTGTAGTTTTATTTTCATACTTCCTCCTTTGCTTCCTGCACATTCAGTGTGTCTGTAAGTCAGTGTTAGAGTTTCTGCAAGAGACTGAATCCTGAATGAGAAGAAAGTACTGCTAAAACTAAAAACATTTTTCTTTTTCCCTCAATGATGGAATAAACTAGTTTTCAGTTGTTGAACGCAAAACTCCACATCTTGTTCTATCTTGATAGTCTTAGAAATGCCGAGGGAAAGAAGTAAGAAATGTTCCTTTGAGATTTCTGTAACCTCAGTAATTTGCTGTATAGCAAACATTTCTTTTTATGTCTAGCAAGAATAGGGTCTTGTGGAATCCATTCTCAAGAATGGAAAGATTAAGTGTTTTTTTTCCCTTTCATGTTATAAGTGTTATTAAATTATAAACTTTTAGAATAAAAGGACAATGCTCTTTTTAAAAATATACAAGACCTTTCTGCATTGGGTTGCTTAAGCAGGATGGACAAGGACTGGCATCTTCCCATCCCCATTTACTTTTCTAAGATCATGAATTGAAACTATGGGAAGAATAACTGTTGTTCAAAATATTCTTAACAGTGTTTGGGGATAAAGATTACCTTTGGATACGGAAGCCCAGGTAACCCCTTTTGTATTGTGATTTGTTTTCTAGACTTTGAAACTGGATATACAAATACAGCCCAAATCAAGCTTTTTAGTTAATTCCCATCAGCAGTCACCATATGAGTTAATACAGAGACAGCCAGAGTGGAACCGAAGTCTGTGTACATAGGATTAAACCTACGGATGATTATCACTTTACCTAGATAATGCATAACTATTAGTGCAGGTGTGAGAGACAGATTGTCAAAAAATCAACAGTTGAACCTCAGACTTCATTGTACTGAACCTTTCTTCTTTTACCAGTTTTTACTGAGCTGAAGAGTGACATAAGTCCATGTGGACAAACCCCAGGATGAGGAATGAGAGCAAGGGAGTGTTGGGTACCAGCTGGTATCACAGGGAAGAGTGTTTGGAGCTGTTTGTGTAAAGGATACCCATCATGCACTTCTAACTAGTGAGGGATAACTCCAGGCTCTGCCACCTTGATCAATATGACCGTTAATTTCTTGTAACTTTCTAGAGAAGACAAGCCTCTTAGGAACGCTGCAGTTTCATCAGTTTGGAAGCAGGAATAGGGATTATTCCGTAGTGATCTGACCGTTTAGGGATTTGCCCAGAGTCTTCACTGTGTGAATGTCAAGGTTAATTACTTATGCCTAAATTAACATGGTAGAAAGCACACTGCTTAAGGCAGAGAGCTCTTCCTCACTGAGGAATGGTTGGACTCTTCATGAAACAATCTCAATTCCTTTTCCCTTTGGGTTCCAAACAAGTTCTCGGAAGCCATTACAGACCTTTTGGGTGGTCCCTCCAGATGAGTGGCCGAGATGGTGTGAGCAGTGTACACTTCTCCCCCGGGGTAAGGCTGTGAGTCTGCCCTAGCTGTGGCATCTGGGATGCAAGCAGGTACAGTACCAACACTGAAGGCACCCGGTGCTTCACTCGAAGGAGGGAGAAGCTCTTACTCTGTTATACAGACCTTTTGCTCTTAAGTATTTTAAAATAGAGAAATGTTTCTGTGCTGATAAATGCAGTATCCTAGTTGTATTAGAGTGGATTAAAATGGAAAACAATGTCCTACTTATACTCTGAATAGGGTGGATAATAATGTTCTATGAGGTGATCACCAGCTAATATACTAAATCTTTGTTGTTACAGAATTCTGCACAGCCATGGGTCCCGGACTCTTTTTTTCCCCCATCTGTTCTCAATATGTTTTTGAAATTCAAACTCACCCTTTTTTTTTTTTTTTAAATCAAAAACATTGCCAGACCATTTAGTCCTCTTGGAAGGGCCTCTCTGGTGGGGCTTCAGTCCTGTTAAAGATGGTTACCAGACATCACCAGGTTGAATGCTGGGACTGGTGTACCGTGAGAAGAGTGGAAAGTAAAGAGGCTGGCTTTGAAAATGTGTCTTCTCAAAGGCTGCCCCTACTCCCTGTTGCCATTCAGCTGCACTCCATCGTCCTCTTCCTCACTGGTCGCTTTTTATACCACCTCCAAAGGGGGCTGAGCTCTGGGACCAGGAACTGAGACGCCTCTGGACACGCACCAGCAGCAAGCGGGTGCAGTGAGGGCTGGCTAGCTTCTCCCCAGTCTCCTTAAACTACCCAGCCACAGCCAGGGGCTTGTTGAGGTTAACGAGTTTCTGTTTAGTCTGCTTCCAGTCTTGTGTATTTTCTCTGGAGTGTTGTTTTTGCAGTGCAGGGTGAGTCGGTGTGGGTGTTTGAATGCTGCTGTTTGCTGTTTTTTAAAGGCCTTCTAGCCCTCCCATGGGGTTGCTGCAGCAGGAATTCTTACCTGTGCTTCAGCCCAGCATACAGACTGCTGACAGGTACCAAGTGGAATAAACGCCCGCTCATAGTGTGCTGTTTGTCAACATGTTCACTGCCCATGGTTCTCAGCTCTTTGTTCCTCAGTGCTCTTTTTCATGCTTTCTTTATTTTTTAATTTGTTCTGCATTTTGGCAAACCATCTGGTTGTAATATTGTAACATTTCTTATTTTTTTCCATAAGTTGCCAGTGTGTTTGTGTTCGATTTAAAAATCATTATGGATCTAGAAAAAAAAATGAAAGCTATTTAAAACTGTATTCAATTACGTGCACATTAGCTTAGGTGCACTATGATTCTCTTTTGATAAAACGTTAAGGCTTTTGGTCATATACATTTAAGGATGCTGACATTTATTTTAAGTACATTTTTACTTGTGGATATTCATACGAGTGACCAGTCGTAATGGTCATATTAGCAATTAGTTGCCTGGTATCTAAATAGGCACTAATGTGGTTTTTTTCCTGCTACTGATGTTTTTTGAGACCTTACCTTTCTGAATTGAAAATATTTGATAGGCTAAAATGCCACATTTATTAGCTGGTTTATCCTATTCTTAAACCACAAAAGTTTACTCATTCTCTTTTTCATCATAGTGGCTCTAATAGAAATATAATTGAATTGTGCCACTCTTTATATATGGAGATAATACAACTGGACCCTGATTGGCAGGATGTAGCATTTAGTTATATTTTTAGTGGTATTAAAAGCAGAGTTTATTAGCCAGGCCTGGTGGCATGTGCCTGTAATCCCAGCTGCTCGGGAGGCTGAGGCACAAGAATTGCTTGAACCCAGGAGGCAGAGGTTGCAGTGAGCTGAGATCATGCCACTGCACTTCAGCCTGGGTGACAGAGCAAGACGCCATCTAAAAAAAAAAAAAGGAGGGTTTACCCTTTAGCTAACTGTCTGCAAATGCCAGTAACTTCCACATGGTCAGAGGGTCAGCCCCGATTTGAGGCTGCAGCCTGGGACCCAGACGAGCAGTATCTCAGGGCAGCATAAAATGGTTTGCAACTATCCCAGTGGGACCTCACTGACGCTATGTCCTAACTACTGAGCTACCCACCCAGACCTGACGAGAGACAGTCACAAAGAACTGCGCATTAACCCCACGGCCCTGCTGTTTTCCTCCGTAGATCTTTAAAACATCCACGGGCATTAGAAGGTTCTGTAATAGCTTTACTTATCTAACAAAGCTGGATTTTTTTTTTTCATCTGTCGTTTTACAACTTGGTGACTCCTGTTGTCCATATTTGATATGATAACTAATACAAGTTTTTAAAAACAGAAACATTTTAGAGTAATTTCAACACTTTTATCTTGCCCAGAACATAAAAAGTCTTCAGTTTCAATCCTTATAACTTTGTGTGAGGGAAATTAGCAGCAGGGTGGGAAACAGAGGTGACTTTTATTTGTCTGAGTCTACCAAATTGCTGAACTAATAGGTACAACTCCCTTCCTCTTAACTGAGCTGACTGATTTTTGCTAGATTTTTCTTTTCCTTTCTTCATTTTGTTTCTTCTGTTTCCTGGGATTTCATGTGTGATTTCTTTTTCTAAAGCACAACTTTTGGGGCGTAGTTAGAGACCTTTTTTGCCTGTGTCCCCACCACCCCTTCCACACATGTGCAGGTCTCCCCTGAGCGCCCGGACAGCATAGGACCACGCAGTCCACTGCCTCTGCCCCTCAGAGATTCTGCCTCTCTCTCCCGACCTGTGCCACATTCTCGTGTCAGGACCCCAGTTCCCCCTGCGTTTTCTCCAACATATGAGAGTCTAGATGGGCACGGCATTTAGAGGAGCTGCCCTGTTCTGGTGTCCTGGGGAGAGAGAGGTGCTCGTGACCCGGCTATGCAGGAGCCCTGAACCTTTCTGGGAGTACCAGCTGCGGGGGCCATGGTGGGAGCTCACTTGGGTGATTGGCTCATTCAGGTCTCCCTCCTCCTTGCTGCTGCCTCTGGAGGGTCTGCTGGCCTGGCTGGACACGAGCTCTTTGTAGCCAGTATGGACTGGACCCATTTGGCCCTAAGTAACTGAATTGTGTACCAGTCAGCAGTAGGGATGCATAACACCAGAGTTTCATTGATTCAAAGGCAAAGCAGGTGGCATTTCACTGAACACTTAAATGTTTGAAATAACCTTTTATAGAGTGGGAAAGATGTCTGTCTAGTTTTAAGTCTTTCTGAAAAGGAATGGGCTGGAATGTTGGGTTGGTTGCAGCTATTCTTGTGTTCTTTTTAAAATATCTTAACTTATACTTAGATATGGGGCAGGCTTTATTCCTACCCAAGTAGCAGCGATCAGTGATGCTGGTGCTAACCCCTGGTCTTTGTCTGTTTCCCTATTGCTGACCTCAGGCACCACACGGTAACTCGAGGCATCACCAAAGGCGTGAAGGAGGACTTTCGCCTGGCCATGGAGCGCCAGGTCTCCCGCTGTGGAGAGAATCTGATGGTGGTGCTGCACAGATTCTGCATTAACGAGAAGATCTTGCTCCTTCAGACTCTGACCTGAGTGGAGACCTGTCCACCAGACACAGCTCGGGACTGTGTACTTTTAGGAGAAGACACCCAGCAGTGATTGACGTGGCACGCAGCCGTGGTCATTGTTGCTGTTACAAAGAAGAAAACCAGCTGAGTTCTAACTCCTTGGTTGCTTAAAAGTAGTTCCCAAGAGTCTGAGAAGCTATCTCTATTTTTAAGAGTCATTTTTTTGTAATTTTTGTAAAACAAAGACCCAATCTGTTTTGTAAATAAAAATCATCCTAAAATTTGAAGTTTTTAAAAATTTCTTTTGATTCTTATGAGTTTTTGAACAGGGGTGCATTTTTCTTCTTTTCTAAGCATATAGCAAGGGGGAAAATCCAGCATAATTGAAGTGGGTAATGAATTTTACTAATACAGATACTTAAAAGACATATATCTTCCATGATCTTAAGATTTTATTTTTCATAGTTAGGCTTTGGTCAGTATTACATGTCAACATAATATTAGACGTTTTCATTCAGGTGGTCTGTTTTTTAGAAACAAGGTCTCACTCTACACCCAGGTTAGAGTGCAGTGGCACGATCCTCACTCACTGCAGCCTCAAACTCCTGGCCTCAAGCAATCCTCCTGCCTCAGCCTCCCAAGTAGCTGGGACTACAAGCATACACCGCCATGCCCAGCCATTTGTTTTTAATTTTATGTAGAGACAGGGTCTCACCATGTTACCCAGGCTGGTCTCAAACATCTGGCCTCCAGCAATCCTCCCACCTCAGCCTCCGAAAGTGTTGGGACAACAGGCATGAGCCACCATACCTAGCCTCATTCGGGAAGTTTTAACACCAAAAACATTTATGTAAAAATGAACTTGAGCCTGACCTCTCCCCACTGACAGTCCCCTGAAGGAGAGGTGCTCAGGGCTGCTGAAAAAGCCCAGGACAGGAAGTGGAGGTGAGAGGCGAGGTGAGCCGAGCAGCCTCCCCACTGCTGTTTGGCTCCAGGAAGGCCCTGCTGCTGTGCCAGAGTGGCCCACTGGTTTCTACCCAGGGGTTTTGGAGCCAGGTGGCCTTGTGTGGCTTTGCATCCTGGCTTTGCCCTGCCCTTTGCTTGCTATGTGACCGTGGACAAGGTAACTTCTGTGTGCGTCAAGCTCTTTGTCTGAAAACGGAGCTGAATGGTCCTCCCCTCGCTGGTGGTTGGGAGAATGAAATGTTGCTCCCTGTGAAATGCTTGGGAGGGGCCTTGAGCGTAGTTAGTGCTGGCCAATATTAGCTATTAGGCTAGATTTTTTTTTTAGTTAGACTAATTTTATTTTCCTTTTGCTCTTCATGAAATAATACAGCAAACGTCAATAAAATTTGTTTCAAGGGAGTATTTAAGAATGAAAGAGCTAAGAAGTTTTGCAGTTACTCTGCGTAAAAGGTCTTAGAAATCTTTTCTAAATAAAGATCCTTTCTATAGCTATATTAAAATCAATAAGATGGTTTAAATAAGGCACATCTGATCTCAAAAATATCAACTAGCTTGTTTTGCAGTGTTTATTAGTGTAATATGAGTTTACTACAGATATATAAGCAATCCTTTTTTTAATCATGGGATGTGCTGTCACCTAAAACCTCCCAAATTAAACACTCTCACCTTTTGGTTTTCTAACACTGTATTAGGGTTCTCCAGAGGGACAGAACTATTGGATAGATGTATACATGAAAGGGAGTTTTTTAAGGAGAATTAGCTCACATGATCAGAAGGTGAAGCTCCACAGCAGGCCGTCTGCAAGCCGAGGAAGAAGGAAGCCCGCAGTGGCTCAGTCCAAGTCCAAAAGCCTCAAAAGCGGGGAGGCCAACAGTGCAGCCTTCAGTCTGTGACCAAAGACCCGACAGCCCATGACCAACCACTGGTGTAAGTCCAAAAGTCCAAAGGCCAAACAACCTGCAGTCTGATGTCCAAAGGCAGGAAGCATCCAGCACAGGAGAAAGATGAAATCCAGAAGACTCAGCAAGCCAGCTTATCCCACCTTCCGCCCACTTTGTTCTAGCCTCGCTGGTGTCTACCCAGCTTGAGGGTGGGTCTTTCTCTCCCGATCCACTGACTCAAATGTTAATCTCCTCTGGCAACAGCCTCACAGACACACCCAGAAACACCACCAGCTATCTAGGCATCCTTCAACGCAACCAAGTTGACACCTAATATTAACCATCACGAACAGCTTCCTCAGCTCAGTGTTTGGGGGGCAGTGCACATCACAACAAGACTTTCTGATACTAGCTAAAAAAGGATTAACCATCTTTTTAAAAATGCAGTGGTGCCACTTCTCTGTGAAGAGGCTGTAGAGAAAGGGTCACAGAATAAAATGGAAACTCAGACTGAGTTTGCAGAAAAGGAAGGAGCTGGCGGAAAACTGCAGACCTCTTGGCACATAATGGCTCCATCCAAATCACTGCACTAAGAGACCTGACCAAACTCTAGCTTGGCTACCAGCAGCTTAAGGTCATGACCCCAGTCCCACTTAAAATGCCTGCCTGAGAAAGCCCCATGCCACCAAAATTCATTCCAGACCAAACCAGGTGATAGGCAGATAGGCCCCGGACTCTCTCTCAGAATAGTTACTTTAGAAAGGTTGCAATTATACATTCTTTGCCCTTTGAGCTGCAAAGCGACCACCCAGAGCTGTTTTCTCAAGAACCCAAGAGCCGGCTTTTTGAAATCCATTCAGGGAGACAACTCTTGCTCCCAGTCCCTGTGGGAGGGAACATTTGAGCTGGGTTTACACCATGGGAACATTTAGACTCCTACAGGAGATGTACTGTTGCCATGGCAATCCTGCTCCCTAACAAAGGAACTGCAGGCTCAGGCTTTTGGTGTCTGCTTGTCTGAGTAACCAATGGGGCAAAGTTACCATCGGGGTGACCTTAAGGCAGGCAGAAGATAGAGCGGTACATAGGAGGCATGACTGACCTTGGATATCTCGTCCCAGACATTCCCCTCCCAGGGCAGTGCGGTGCACCCTGCATGCACAGCATCCTCCTCCTGCGCTTAGGTCCATCTGCGTATAGAGTCCCTACTGGGAAAAGGGGCACTGCCAGAAAGAGGCACCCACCCCTCGCTCGTCAGCAAACGCAGGTTCCTGGGGAAACTGATGCTAGTTTGTAAAGGACCCGCCTCTGGGTTTCCTAAGCAGCAGAACGGCTCCCTGGCTGCAATCCATTGAAAGTCAGTCCTGGACGCCAGGGTTTGTCCACCCACGTGGAGGCTCCAAGCATCTATGCATCTATCCCTCTCAATCCCCAGGACTTCAGACCCAGAGCCACACTGTAGGGCGGCAGTGATCAGGTAGCCTCCTGGCAACCCAACTCAATGCGCTGCCTCCTTGTCACAAATGTTACTGTTATAGAAATATTTATCTGTAAATATGAAATCACATAAATTGTAATAGTCTTCTATAATATGAAATATAAATTGTAGACGTTATAAATGATAAGTTCATGTGAAAAACAAATAAACATGTGAACAGTTATTTTTATTTTTTTAGAGACAGGGTCTTGCTCCGTCGCCCAGAGTAATAGTCACCCTGGAATGCAGTGGCGCGACCATGGCCCACCGCAGCCTCCTGTGCTTAAACGATCCTCCCGCCTCAGCTTCTGAGTAGCTGGGACCACTGGCACATGCCATCACGGCCGACTAATTTTAAAATTTTTTATAGAGATGGAGTTTCACCATGTTGCCCAGGCTGGTCTCGAACTCCTGGACTCAAGAGAACTGGCCACCTCCGCCTCTCAAAGTGCTAGGATTACAGGCGTGAGCCACTACCCCAGGCCTGAAGTTATATTTTTCACTGTCACTCATCATGACTGTAACTATCTCTGTTATTATGATTATTTGTTGTCGAACCTACAGTAGTAAACATGCTGAGTACAGCTCTCTGTCCACAAAAGGGTCCCACCCATGGGAGGCAATGGAGGAGGGGTTCAGGGCTCAGAATGTCCAACCTTGCAGGGCGCCGCTGTCCCCCACCCACAGCTGACCCTGGCCCAGGGACCTCTGGAAAAGAAAATGTTGAGGCCTCCCTGGACTGTGGGGGTTGGCCCCCTCCAACCCAGCTCCAAGGTGGAGGCCAGGGCCATGCCGGGCAGTCTCCACCAGCCCTGGGCCAAGAAACGCAACCCAAGGTGAGTAGAGCTGTGGCCGGGTGCCCCCACTACCTGCGACAGCTTCTGTGGACACAAGACTTTTGCATCCCTTGCCAGGAACAAGCTGGCGACTGCTTTTATTTAATCCATGAATGTCAACTAGATGGCCAGACCTGACCCTGGTAAAATGGGGGTGGGAATGGGCTGGGGTTGGTGCAAAAGTGCAGCTAGAGGGTTAAAACTGAGATTCAGTCTTCGGATGCAGGGTGCAGGCTGCGGTGTCAGGTGTGGGAGCAACTCACGAGGTTTATAGTAATGAGAATATTTTTTGTTATTTATAAATATAATTGTAATTATTAATACATATACAATTATGTAAGTACTATAAATACATAACTTTATTATACATAAACTATATATGAAATACAAAATATATATCTATAAATTATATAATACATATATATGTTATATAAATTTTGTTTTTGTTTTTGTCTTTGGGACAGTCTTGCTCTGTCACCTAGGCTGGAGTTCAGTGGCACAGTCTCGGCTCACTACAACCTCTGCCTCCCGGGTTCAAGTGATTCTCCTGTCTCAGCCTCCCAAGCAGCTGGGACCACAGGTACATGCTGCCACACCCGGCTAATTTTTATATTTTTAGTAGAGGCAGGATTTTGCCATGTTGGCCAGGCTGGTATCAAACTCCTGACCTCAAGTGATCTGCCCGCCTCAGCCTCCTAAAGTCCTAGGATTACAGGTGTGAGCCACTGTGCCTAGCCCTGTATGTCATATAAATTCCAAAATGTAAATTAAACTATAGATTATAAACATTTTATAAATATTAAGTATTTAAAAGTAATAATTATTGTCATTGCTATTTATCGTTATTGTAATTATCACTATGATTACCAATAGGAGCTGTTATAGAAACATTGAATAAATCTTCTCTGTCTAGGAAAGGTATTCAGTTGACCAGAGATGATAAAGGTGGTTTCCAGGCCAATGAATTGTCTCAATTCACTGGTGAGTCCAGGAAGACCCTGAGCAGCCACCAGCCTGGACAGCCTACCCACACCTCCACGGTGCTCTGCCCCAAATGCTCAGGACTGAATCCAGACCCTCCCTCATTTTTGACACCCACTTCCAAGTTAGGGCCAACAGGGGAAGGCCAAATATACTGACCCTCATGGATCATGCGGAACATACCTCTTCTTGTCAATCTGCCTCCAGCCATTCTCAGATCAGCCAGCTCTCAGCAGGATGCTCCTTCCCCTTTTCTTACCATAAAGCTTTCCCACTCCTTTGCCTGCCTTTGAGTCTCTGCCAATCTCAAGCTGTTGTGGTGGCTGACTCTTACAATACAGAGCAAGCTCTCAATTAATAAATCTTGTTCTCATGTTGGTGATCTTTATCTCCACAAAGGTTATGACATAGGAGTCTTTTGGTGCCTCTGTGCCAGCCAGAAAACTCTGTGACTGGCAATGTAGGGAATTTGCTCAGCTCTGGGTTCACCGCTTGGCTTCCTCCACCCACTTGGCCTGGCAGGCTGTACTTGGCTCATGCTTCTGGCCTGGATACCATGCCCACCAGCTCTTCACTCAGCCTGCAACTGGTCTGCATGCTGCCTTCAATGGCTTCTGCCTTGGGCGCCAATGTCTGGATGAGGTAGACGCAGCAGTGCCTAAAAGCTTGAAGATGCCAGCAACCACAGAGCCCCAAGGGGTGTTACAGTCTTTTGCTTGGGGAGTCCTGAGCTCTGAGCTCTCAGGAGGCATTACAGCTCATTTATGTTACGGCTCATTCATTCCTGTCATCTGCAAGCTTCAGCAAATCGGGTCATGTCCCAGCTTGTTTGGTCCTGCTGCCCTGCTCAGGCCCGTGGCTCCTTGGCTGGCCAAGTTCTGCTGCCACCGCTTCCTGTCACATGGGGAAGCCATCTGGCACCAGTAGAGGGTGGGAGGGCTACAGCGCTACGGCTCTTTTCACACCTGCCATTCAGTGGGCTCTGGGTTCTTATCATGCATCCAAGAGAAATGAGCCATACAGACACCAGAGAGTGGACAAGGTGGGGAAGAATTATCTTGAGTGACAGAAAAGCTCTCAAAACAAGAGGGGACCCAAAGTGGGTAGCCCTCTGTGTGAAAGGGAGCCTGAAGGCAGATAGTCCCAGTGTGTGGCTGAGTCTGAGGGTTTTATGGGCTCAGAATCGGGGCGTGCATACTAATTGGTCCATGGGCAGGCCTGAAAAAAGCACCATTTGGGGAGAAAATTTTTGTAATCTACCCATCTGACAAAGGGTTAATATCCAAAATCTACAAAGAACTTAAACAAATTTACAAGAAAAAATCAAACAACCCCATCAAAAAGTGGGCGAAGGATATGAACAGACACTTCTCAAAAGAAGACATTTATGCAGCCAACAGACACATGAAAAAATGCTCATCATCACTCGCCATCAGAGAAATGCAAATCAAAACCACAATGAGATACCATCTCACACCAGTTAGAATGACGATCATTAAGAAGTCAGGAAACAACAAGTGCTGGAGAGGATGTGGAGAAATAGGAACGCTTTTACGCTGTTGGTGGGACTATAAACTAGTTCAACCATTGTGGAAAACAGTGTGGCGATTCCTCAAGGATCTAGAACTAGAAATACCATTTGACCCAGCCATCCCATTACTGGGGATATACTCAAAGGATTATAAATCATGCTACTATA